GTTTGGCCTAGTGCTGGGTCGACTTCTTTGACGGGACCCTGCTTCCTCCTTAGCAGCTGCTGTGGAGGAAATCTTGTGACTTCTGACAAAATATCAATAACAGGTAAAAATTTAACTTCACCACGCTTAGTTCTCTACCTTTGAATTCCAGTTGACGTGAGAAGCAATGCGACTTTTTCTCCCTCCTAAATTTAACATTGCAAAAGAATATTTTGGTGGAACTCATTCTTTGGGGTATAGCATCTCTTGGTTTGAGTATTCTTGGTTTTTAAGGACTTCATTCTTAATTTTACTTTGACTGCTCTTGGAGGACTTCAAAGAAATTCTTCAGATTCTGTGTCTTCCTCCTTTTGAGTGTTTGTCATCACAAGTAAACTTCACAGGGGCAGACCCATGAGCCTGGTGCCCTAGACTCAGTTGCTGTGGGTAATGCATCCATGAGTGGAATCTTAGAAGCCAAGCCACAAATTGGTGGCCTGATGGAGCAGCTGAAAGCTGTTACAGTGTTCATCATCTGGAGGCACAATGACAGGGCTTGGTGGTTGAGGGACCCGTTAGATTGGCATAAGGCCATGGCAACCACAGGAACGTGCCTGAAACAAGGGTCTCTGTAAAACAAAACCAACCCCAGTTTGATCTAGGGAGTGACCCACATGGCACGGCAGACCTCGCCTGTCTCATCTGCTGCTCCCCTCAGCAGTGTATTTCAGTGGATCTGCCTGTTGTGCTCCCCACTCTGTCTCTGGTGAATCCTCCTCCGCCCCTGCACTTCTGGCTGTACCCCAGTTTTTGTGTGCATAAATAAATACATCAAAAAAAAAAAAAAAGGCACCTTGTAAGATTTTAAGATTTTGCTATGACTGATTGGCCAGGAAGTTCTGACCTTATACAGGAATGCAGAACTTCAGGTAACAATAATGGTGACCAGACAGGCCGCTTTAGTCTAGCAGACTCACATTAGTCATAAAATAAATAAATCCTGGGGATGTAATGTGCAGTTTGGTGACTATAGTCAATAATACCATATTTGAAAGTTACTATGACGGTAGATCTTAAAAGTTGTCATCACAACTGTATGTGGTGATGGTCATTAACTAGACTTATTGGGGTGATCATTTAATAATACATATGCATATTGAATTATTATGTTGCACATCTGAAACGAATATATTATATGTCAGTTGTATCTCAAAAAAAAAAAAAAAAAAACCAGAGGTGCAAGTTTTACTACTTTTTAAAGATCCCAGAAAAGTTAGCCAAAGAGTCAGCCAAACAGCTAAGTCCTACGAATAAGAGAGAAAGGTCCGACATAAGTTAGACTATAGATGTAGAACAGGATCTGGGCTAGTGAAGTTTTGAGAGCATGACTGGAGGTATTGTGAGTCCAACTTCCCTCTGAAAAAACTCAGCAGTAGGGACTGTGATGTGATTATGAGAATCCAGACAAAATTAATTAAATGGGGGGTAGGAGACCAATCGCTCTATTTCTTACTTTATGAAGGAAAAACTGAGTGGCTTAAAACAACATCCATTACTACCTTTATTTTTTTTTTAAAGATTTATTTTTTATTATTTATTCGTACAGAACTGGGGGGTACAGACCAGAGATGCGGAGGTTGAGAGGCTTCACCAGAGACAGAGCAGGGAGCAGAACAGACAGATGGGCGAAGTACACTGCTGAGGGGAGCAGCGGGCGGGTCAGGAGAGGTCTGCCACGCCATGTGGTCACCTCCAGGGCAGGCGGGGATCAAACTCATGTGGAAGTGGTCCAAGCTTCTTTGTGCTGTGCTTTAACCCACTGCGCCACCAGGGAGGGCCTATTTTTTTTTTTTAAGATTTTTTTATATATGTGTACAAGAGCTGTGGGCCTGAGGTGGTGGCGGGGGTGTGGGGTGTGTGAGAGAGGATTCATCAGGGACAGAGTGGGGAGCAGAACAGGCAGATGTATTGAAACACACTGCTGAGAGGAGCAGCAGGAGACAGGAGAGGTCTGCTGCGCGTGTGGGTCAGCTCCCTGGCTGGGGATTGAACTTGTGCTGCAGCGGCTGCTGATCCCTGCATAGTCCTGAGATTTAACCTCTTTGGCCACCAGACAGGCCCCCTATAACCTTTACTTTTTGTGTGTGGGGAATCTGGGTGAGATGTGTCAGCCCTCTGCCTCAGGCTGTCCCAAAGGCTGCTAACATCCTGTGAGAAGGTGGTCCCCAGGGAAAGGGAGGTTCCAAGTTTCCTGACCCACCCAAGGAAGGGTAGAGCTGAACAGGGAAATGAAGAAGGGGGAGAAGAGACTGAAGAGGAAGGAAGCAGGATGGAGCCAGAAGGAGACCTGAGGAGGCACGTGGCGCAGAGAGACATGTGAAGAAGCTGTGTTTGATATTTGGTCCTGGACTGATTGAAACACAATGGCAGCTTTAATCTTGATTTTGATGTTGTGGCTGTTTCTGCCTATTTTCTCTGGGTCTCCCCTGGAAAGTGCTTCAGATTTGTGGTGGGCTTTCAGACCTTGTTTTGGGCCAAGCCTGCTTGGCTAGACATTTACACATGAGGGGACGGGTCACTTTGGGTGCTTGATTTGGAAACTATATTCTTTGTCTTGTCTGTATTGCACACTCATTGTATTAAAGTTCCTTTCCATTAAAGGGCTATATGTTTTGTCTTGATGTGATCCATGCAGAACCTGTTTACAGCAGGTAGGTTTGGGGGTTCTGGGGTGCCCTATCACTGCCTTGACAGTCTCAAGGCTTGGCGTGGGAAAGATTTGATTCCACATTTCATTCAGCAGACTGAAGACCTGTTTCCTTGCTGGCCCTTAGGGGGCACCTGCCTTGGTTCTTTGCCCTGTGGGCCTGTCTACTGATCAGCTTGCAGCAAGGCAGCTGGCTTTACTGAGAGTGAGTAAGCAAGTGAGGAAGTGGAAGGACAAGACAGGAGAAAGAATCTTTTCGACAGCCCATCATTTTTGCCACAACCTATTTGTTAGAAAGAAGTTCCCAGCTCCAAACCATACTCAAAGGGAGGAAATTACACAACAGGGTAACTGTTAGGAGGTAGAATCGCTGGAGCTGCCTTCGATATGGGGCTTAAGCAGTGGCAGTGTTGTTCAAGAGCAGAAATACTTGACAGGTAAATGTTTGCATTGCAGTGTTAAGAAGGGTGTGCATGTTTTTAACTGGGTTTGCACATGTTGAGTGGCATGCTAAAAAACCTAGGAGTGGTTTTTTAAAAACTGAGAGCTGAGGGCCCTCCCTGGTGTCGCACAGGGACAGCACTAAGAAGCCAAAGCCACTTCAGCATGAGTTCGATCCCTACCCCGAACGTGACCCACATGGTGCAGCAGACCTCTTCTGACCCGCCCGCTGCTCTCCTCTGTAGGGTACTTCATCAGTTGGGCTGTTCTGCTCCCCACTCTGTCTCTGGTGAATCCTGCACTGCCCCTGCACCTCTGGCCTGTACCCCAGTTCTGTATGCAGAAATAAATAAATCTTTAAAGAAAAAAATTTTCTAAAAAAAAAAAATCCTGAAAGGGTGATCCATGAAAGGATGCATTGAAGGAGCAGCAGATTGGATCACAAAAACCCGATACCATGAGATTAATAAGAAAATCACCCAACAAGGAAATGTATGCCCATAAACTAGAAGCTCCATTTTACAGATTAAAATAATCTCAAGAGACCCAGGAGATAGGGGAGACAAATGGATAAGTTTATATGATAATCTGCTTAACCGCAAGAGTTCTCGGACATTTGGCTGACTCCATTCAACCAAAAATACTTGCAGAGGGAACAAAGTCGTATTTATACCTGAATGTGCCATTGTAAGGAGCTTCTGGAGCTAACTGGCAAAGCAGCAATATTTTCAAGGACTTTCTTTTCGTAAAGGAAGGAAGAAAATGGACAACGTTTGGGGGAAATACTTGAGACTAGGCGCCCTCTTCCATGGTCTAATCAGGCCTGGTGATCTCGCCTTGCTCAGCGCCGAAGCCTCAATGCCACCACCACTCACTGCCTGTCACGTCCTGCTGCAGCCACTGCTCTCCCTTCTAGTAAAGTACCAGGCAAACCTGGATTCATTCAGACTGCAGCTCAAATGCCACCCACCAGACAAAAAATTGGCTGCTGTGAAAAATAGCATAAACCACCCCCACCTTTTTGGTTTTCTTTATGGTTGTTTCCATTTCCCAAGATTATAGTATGCCTGTATTTACTATTTGTAATTGTATTTTTATTTACCTACTAATTGCCTGTCACCTCCACCGAGATAACAATTCTGAGTACAAGGTCTTTAGCTCATGGCACAAGTCTGTGGTTCTTAGCAATAATGCCTGTGAGTAAATGTAAGGAAAAACGAAAAGCAAAGGGAAGCCCATAAAAACGGTAGTTTGCGAGAATTAAGGGCGGAAAACGTGAAACAACGACACTTCGCTAGAACTGTACTAATCCAAAGTCATGTACAATGAGAACTATGTATCTTCCTTACAATAATATATGATTCCTGTTTTTTAAATTCCGACTGAAATGAGCTGATCTACGTGAAATTATTTACGACGGTTGATATCACTAATTTCTCTAGATTTTCAGACAGATCCTTCCCCCGCCCTCTTGTATAAAATGTATTCTTGTCGCTATTTGATTGGCTGGCTCTTCTGAGTTCCCATTTTTCATTGGTCAGTGCTCCAGCCTTTCACTCACTATCCAAGCACCTCATTGGTCCGCTGCTGCAGACAGCCCGCGGCTGTCCCCGCTGGGCCTGGAGGAGGACCCGGGTGACGTCAACGGTGCGCCCTGCCCACATTCCAGAGCCTGGGCGGAGACTTCCCGAAGCCGCTGCCTTCGAAGGCGGGACAAGGAGGAGGGACAGACTTCTGATTGGGTAGAGCTGGCGAGCCGCGCATCCTATTGGTCACTATCCCTGAGGGAGGCGGTGTCACAGCTGGGTCCTGGAACTGAGCTGGGGAGCCCTGGGGAGTCTCAAAGTTTGTGTCTGGAGCCCGAGTGGAAAGTGGGTCTATGGCGAAGGGATTTACTTGGGATGAAAGCTGATCGCCTGCCTTTATTTAGGAGGCGTTCCCTGCCTTAAACCCTGCCGCTTTCGACCCGATCCTCGGTTAGTCTGTCTCCCCCCGGGGATCCCCAGGTCTCGGCGGACGTCGGACGGGAGCCCTTGGGAGTTCTCCCTCAGACAGAGGAGCGGAGGTTTCCTTCCTACGTGCAGCCCCCCTGTGCCCCCCGCACACACACACCCGCTCACAGCACGCGCGGGGCCGACTCCCCTCCTGCGCGCAGCATCTCGGCCCGCGCCCCGGACCGCCATGGAGGTGCTGGAAAGCGGGGAGCAGAGCGTCCTGCAGTGGGACCGCAAGCTGAGCGAGCTGTCAGAGCCGGGGGAGACCGAGGCGCTCATGTACCACACGGTGAGGACGGGCCGAGGGGGCGGCCGTGAGGGGCGCGGTGCCATCCAGACGACAGCTGGGGGCTGGGGGTCGGGAAGGGCGCGTTTGGGGAGAGGCTTGGCGGGGAGGAGGAGAGCCGGGAGGGGTGTGGCTTTCCCACCTGGACAGAGAGAGGTGGGCAGCTGGCTCTTCGAAGCTCTCGATCGTGGGAATGACACTTGCCCTCCTCTTGAGAGGTTAGCATTCCGGCCGGCCCCCGAGGCTTTCTCGTCTGCGATATCATTTGCTATCGCTAACAGTACTGGAAGCCGAAGAAGGAATAGGTGTTGGGAGAATAACAAGCCTCTGTTTAGTTTGCTTTTTGTTTGATTTTTGTGGAAAGGTTTTTAAAAGCCGGACAAAATAAAGTTGCGTTTTCTTTCCGTCGCTCTTCTAGTGTGACTCACTGTTTCTCTGTCTCCTTTACGTCCTTACATTTAAAAAGCGTGTGCGTGTTGGAAAGGCTCGCTTGGAGGAGGAAGACGGCTTTATTTGGCTCTTTTACTGAACAGCCAGGAATCCGTTTCCTCCCTTTTCAGAAGCAGGATCAGCAGAGGAGTTGGGATCTGTGAGGCAGCGGAATAGACAGAGAGGGATTCGGAGAAGGTGGGACAGCTCACCAGTTCCTCGCTCAGTCTCCTGCTCAGAGACCCCGTTGGGAATAAGTCACGGGGCACCTCCATATTCCTTGTAAAGTTTTCAATTTAAAATTTGGGGTATGACATTCGCATAAGGAAAGTTTGTTTACAAAAGCCAACACATAAAATGACTTTCTGTGCAGTCTCTTTGTTTCTGTCTTATCAGGGCAAAAGTTTGTAATTAGAGAAAGGAAGAAAGAATACTAATGAGAAAAGGAGAGGCTTGGCCTATTCCCCATCGGGCTTCTTTGAATGGGGTCAGTGCCAGGATATTTGAAACTTCTGCAAAATGGCCTGCGGACTCCTCCTCTTTGGCCTTTGCCTCTGGCTGACGTTATTTTGGGAAAACAGAGGGGGCCTCCCTGCAATTCCCACCAAAGCTTTGGTGGTGGCTGGAAATGGCTGGTTTTAAAATGCAGTGTGCGGGACAAGAGGGTGTGGTAGTTCACGCTGGGGCAACAGTGTGCCATATGACCAGCCAGCTAGCTCCTAGAGACATTGGGGGGAGGGGGGTGGCGGAGAGGGGGGCAGATGTGCTTCCTGTCATCTTTACAGACCTTGGGACCTTGGGGCATGCTGATGCTCAGATATCTTCTGATCATTGGGGCTCCAGAAGTTTCTGCTGACACAGGCTGCATTTGAACCATTGCTAAGGGTCAGCCCTTCTCATTTATTCTTTTTTTTTAATAACAGTTTTTTTTTACATCATTTTGTACATTTTTTTCTTCTTCTCATTTATTCTTAATCCTGTTTTATGTGAAATATCCTTAAACTCATTTTATGTGAAAATGTCTCCTCCACCAGCTGCTGCCACAGCACTGGGGCTGGCTTTTGGCTGGTGGGGTGAATTCTATGTAAGCCCCCCACTTCCCTTTTTCATCCCTGTGACTTGCATTTGTGAGACCTCAGGCCTCAGTTTGAAATGCCACATGTGACTGACTATCTGTGACACTGGACTCCAGAAGAGCAGCTTACAGGCCTGTAACCAGTGCTCAGCGCAGATTCAGGGATCCAGACCTTTCATTCCTTTTGATTTTAGGGCTCAATTTTTCTGTGTTGTAATGAAGCAGTGATGTGTAATTTTTTTTTCTAATTTTATTTTTACTAACTTTTTAAAGATGTATTTGTATTTATTTATATAGTAGAACCGAGGTACAGGCCAGAGGTGCAGAGACTGAGAGGATTTACCAGAGACAGAGTGGGGAGCAGAAAAGGCAGATCCACTGAAAATACACTACTGAGGGGAGCAGAGGGTGGGGCAGGAGAGGTCTGGCTGTGCTGTGTGGGTCAGCTCTCTGTCTGTGGACAGAATTCAGCCTCAGGCCAAAGTGGCTGGTGATATTGCTGAAACTTTAATCCCCTCACTGCTAGGGGGCCATTTTTAAGTTACCTTTATGTTGGGCTCTCTCTGTGGTGGTGCAACTGGTTAAAGCCCAGCACTGTGCAGCTGCTTCAATGTGAGTTCGATCCCCAACCCTGGAGGTGTCCCACATTGTACAGCAGACCTCTCCTTACTCACAAGCTGCTCCCCTCAGCAGTGTACTTCATTGATCTACCTGTTCTGCTCCCCACTCTGTCTCTAGTGAATCCTCTCAACATCGCTGCACCTCTGGCCGGTACCTCAGTTTTGTATGCATACATAAATCTTTATAAGAAAAGCTTTAAACAAATGACCTCTATGTCCACCGCTTAGGTCCATGTCTCTTCTGGGTAGCCCTTCATCACTGTCAGTTTTTGCCAACAAACTGTGTATGTGAAATTGTGTTGCTAGGTATTGGACATAGAGGCAATAGATTATATTCCTTCCAAACGAGGGGGGTTCGACAGATTTGAAAATAGATAACTTTCCCATCTCTTTCTGGATTTTGTTGGGTATCTAGTTGCCAAGGTCATTATTACGTCATTAGTCCTTACTGTGGGAAGGCCTGACCTGGTGCATCTCCCTGTAGGAGATGACCTGATTCTGTATGCATTCAAACACGTATAGTCCTTCCAGTTAATAGCTTCCGAATTTCTTCTGTGTGTCAAACATTTGGGATACATCAATGAACAAAAGCAGAGAGAGCTTCCTGACCTTGAGAAACTTCAATTCCTGTGAGTGTGTGTGTGCACGCCCATGGGGGAGATAATAAATAACATGCAATAGAGAAATAAGTGATACTGTCTTAGACTTTAGAAATGCTATGGACAAAGTAGGCCTAAGAAGAATAGAGTAAGCCAAATGGAGGAAGGACCAAATATGCTATTGAATTCAGGGATCAGAATAAGCCTGCATAGAGTCTAAACAAAGGCTTGAAGGAGGTAAGACTGTTAGCTCAGCAGGATGAAAAGCCAGAGCAGAGGCCCTTGCTGGGAGTGTTTCTGGCACGAGCCTAAGGCAGCATTTCCTTCTGTTTTAGGTCCCCCAGTTTGGTTAGTTATTTTCTATTTAAATGCAGGTTACTTCTGAGTCACACTGCCTGTTTTGGGATGGCCTGTTGCCTCTTTCCAAGTTGAGTGGTTGGGTCATTATTCTGGGAGAGGAAAGACTGCAGGGTGGCTAATGTGCAGATGTTAGTTCGGGAAGTAGATAGGATAATAGCTACTGTCTAATGAGTGTTTATTCGCGAAAGGGAGGCTGGCTGCCCCTGAGCAGCCCCGCAGGGCCCTTCACTTGGATGCTCTATCCTCACCATCTTGAAATCCTTACTAATTTTCGAAAAATGAGTCCTGTGTTTCTATCCTGCATCAGCTCAGGTTATGCTACTGGGGCTGCTGAAAGGAAGGCGCTGTGTTTACTGTTTGCAGGAATGATACCATTGAGCCCTCCCCGGTGGTGCAAGGGGTTAAGGTGCCGCAATATGAAGCTATCCAAAGCTACGGCAACACGAGTTCGATCCCTGGCCAAGGAGGTGACCCATATGGCGCAGTAAATAAATCTTTAAAAAAGAAGAAGAAGAAAACATAATGAGTTTAAGCAGTGAGGTGAAGGTCTTCCAGCTAATTAATGAGAGACTCAGAATTCAAATTCAGGTCTGCCTGCCTCCAAAGTCCAAATTCTTGCCCACATGCCCTATAGATGAGGGACCCAGTCTTAAGGAGAAGGAACTGAATAAGAGAATGGGAGAGGGTTAAAAATTGCTGAACATGTAGACACCTAAGATTTCGTTGAGGGGGCCAGCCAGTACACCTTCCCGCCACAGCCCCTCCGTTTGCTCTAGGGGGATGGAGCTCACACAGGCATGGTGGCTAAGGCCCCAGCAAATCAGCCACCTAACTGATTTTAAAAACAGAGAAGCTTCAAGTTTCTGAGGCTGGGATTACAGCCTGTGAAGCTCTTTGTGAGCCAGCAGCACCAGTGTTTTTCTCATTTGCTCAGTTATGAAGAATTCTTGGTCCAGGAAGGACAAAGGATTAGAGAAGACAAGCTCACCGTCTACAAAACACTGAAGCAAATCTGAACTTGCTAGTTCGTTCTAATTATGACAGCTTTGGGCTTCCTCTTCAAATGCTTAAAAAAGAGTACCTGGGCCCTCCCTGGTGGCGCAGCGGGTTAAGGCACAGGGCAGAGAAGCTTAAGCCACTTCCACATGAGTTCGATCCCTGCCTGCCCCGAGGAGATCCACATGGCGTGGCAGACCTCTCCTGACCCGCCCGCTGCTCCCCTCAGCAGTGTACTTCATCAGTCTGCCTGTTCTGTACCCCACTCCATCTCTGGTGAACCCTCTCACCCTCCACATCTCTGGCCTGTACCCCAGTTCTGTATGAATAAATAGATAAAAAAAAAGAGTGCCCATACTGATGATGAAATATTTTTAAGTCAGTGAGTAGTGTTTCATGCATGCTGTTGGTTGCTTTTAGAGAGGATGCAGGCTAAAAGTGGACTGAGAGAGAGAAGAGGCACATAGAAAAGTGAGGAGATTGTGTCTCAATGTTGGAAATCATTGGGAGAAATCCTGTCCCTTTCCCCAAACAGCTTGAATATTGCATTTTTTTACAAAGATGGTATGTTTCTAGAAGATTCTGGGTAAATCACATTTGTGAGAATTCCCAATGATGGGTAATTGTTTCTGGCCAGAGGACTTGGGGGTCTGGAGGCCAAGAAAGGGGGAGTTATTTACAACTATCCTTTTGTTCTGTTCAAACTTTTACCTCCTAAAGGTATTTAGAAGGTAAAAAAATTACACCTGAAAGGCAATCCACAGGACTGGACTAGAGGTCCTTGTAGCCAGAGTTTCCTTGAGGGCAGAAGAGGGATCTGGTGATTTGGTCAAGTTCAAAACCACTTGTAGGTCTTGGATGAAGAAAGAGGAAGCAGGAGAAAGAGTGCTTGGTTGGAAGGGGCTTTCAGGTAGGAGATTAACA